CCATTTCCCACCCCCAGCCGCCCCGTCCTCACCTCCTCCCCCGTCCCCTGCATGATCTCCACCGGGATGGAGTAGATCTTGTTGTGCATCTCCACGCCGCGCCGCATCCCGTTCCTCACCCGCACCAGCAGCACCCGGAAATTGGTGCCTCCCAGGTCCAGGGCGAGGAAATCGCCTTTTTCTGGAAGCCAAGAGAGAGTCGTGAGGAGAGCGAACCCGACATGGGGCATCATGGATGTGGCACAAATCCACCCTCTTCCTGGAGAGGAGCAGAGCCCAGGCCATGGCTGGGAACGGAGAGGAGCAGGGGTGGGTGGGAAGGCAATGGACGGAGAGGTTTGGGGTTTCAAAGCCCACACCGCCGCCAGGATCAGGAGCATAACCCAGGACAACAGCGGTGAGCAACCCGCGGCGGTGAAAACCACAGTGAAAGCCAGGCTTTGTGTGAAGTCAAGTGCAGAACGGCCTGGAGGCTCTGCTGCTTCTCCCAGTATCATACTGGGCGTTGGAGAGCTTTGTGCCACTCCCACCATGGCACAGCCACATGGTCTCAGCCCATCCCAAAGCAGAGCAGTGATGCCCCATGGAGGACGTGCTCGTGGTGCCTCACCTGTCCCATCCGGAGTTGAGCACACGTAGGTGGGCAGCATCTTCACCGTCGCCTCCGCGTGCGTCTCCTTGCCCAGCCCATTCTCCATCTCCATCCTCATCCTCTGCTTCACCTCCAGGAGCTGCTCGTGGCTCAGCTTGAGGGCATCCAAGATCTTCTGCCGTGCCTTGTGCTGGGCGGCCAGCCTGTAGGCCACCGCCGTCACCATGGCCGCCCCTTTGCCACTCCCGTCCTCCGACCTGATGAAGCGGATCTCGCAGTCGGGCAGCAGCTTCCGAACGGTCTTGTGGAGGCGCCGGGCAAAGCTGCGGAGGAGGAAAAGAGGAGCTGGGTGTGGGTGGTGGGACCTTCTGGGGTTGGAAATAACCGGGACCCCTTTGAGATCATCATTGGACTCGATGATTTATGGTTGGACTTGATCACAGAATCACATCATCGCAGAACCACAGGAGTTGTCAGGGCCCTCCGG